TGTGTGCAGCATATGAACATGGAAAACAACATCGTCAGGTTCATCCAATCATAATTGTTTCAAATATCATTGAACCATTGGAACTTCTTCACATTGACTTGTGTGGACCTTCGACTGTTGAGTTACTCAATAAGAAGAAGTATATACTAGTTATTGTAGATGATTTTTCAAGGTTTACTATGGTTTTTTTTCTTCGACAGAAATTTGAAACTGCTCAAGTGATGATTGATTTTTATCAAGAACATTGAATTGAGCTTGAAAAGAAAATTTTGAAAGATAAAAACTGACAATGGAACAGAGTTCAAAAAATAGAATTTTATATTCGTTTTTGACTGAACTAGGAATTTCACATAATTTTTCGTCTCCATACACACCGCAATAAAATGGTGTAGGCGAAAGGAGAAATCATTCCTTATGTGAAGCGGCGAGAACGATGCTCACTTATGCGAATCTGCCTCGATACTTCTGGGCTGAAGCTGTTTCGACTGCTTGCTTTACATAAAATCATTTTTTTTATTCATCGTCATTTTAGTATAACACCCTATGAGATAATAAACAAAAGGAAACCTAATGTTAAAATTTTCCATGTTTTTGGATGCAGATGTTTTATCATGAATCTCAAGGATAATCTTTCCAAATTTCAGACGAAAGCTGATGAGGGAATTTTCCTAGGATATTCTCACAATTTTGTAGCCTATAGGGTGTTGAATACGCGAACTAGGAAGATTGAAGAAACTTTCAATCTCACATTTGATGACTATTATGTCAAGAGAAGTGAACAAACTGTTCAAAAACCAATAATTACTGAATCTAATGATGAGTCTAAGCAAATGTTTACATTTGATGTTGATCTCGATTTAATTTTTGGTATTCCTTATAGGGCAATTGATGCAAAGATCAATGTTGAAGATAATCAAATTCCTGAGGCATCGAAACATTCTAATGATTCAACAATTTCAATTGAAGAATATGATGCACATTCTTCATCAGTCTCACAAGTCCATTTTGAAAGAATGCAAGTATTGCCTAATCATGTCGAGGGGGAGCATATGTCTAACCATATTGATGTCGAGGGGGAGCATATGTCTAACCATCCTAATGTCGAGGGGGAGCATATGTATAACCATCCTGACGTCAAAGGGGAGCATATGTCTAATCATCCTGATGTCGAGGGGGAACATATGACTAACCATCTTGCTGTCAAGGGGGAGCATATGATGAATCCATTGGTTGAGGAGAAGCCAAGTGGATCGACTCATGATGAGGGTAATGATGGAAATAATGATTTTACTGATTTTACTGACAATATCTCAATTACAGGAGAAAGTCAGGAATCTGATGAAGTTTATGAAGATGCACAACTGGAATTTGATCCTACGTTTCCATTGTGGACAAATGGACGAAAAATCATCCAAAGGAACAGATTCTTGGTGATCCAAGTTCTGGTGTTTTGACTCGAGCCCAAATTCGAGCCAAAAATGAAGTTTTAAATGTACATTAAGAGTTTTGAATGTACAATGTTTTTATTTCGAAAATTGAACCAAAAACTGTCAAGGTTGCATTAGAACATTCTGATTGGGTTGTTGCTATGCAATCTGAGTTGACAGTATTTGAAGGAAACAAGGTTTGGAGACTATTTCCCAAACCTAATGATGTTTCGATAGTTGGTCTCAAACGGGTTTTTAAAAATAAAACGGATAAAGAAGGAAATATTGTTCGAACTAAAGCTAGATTAGTCGTAAAAGGTTATTTCCAACAAGAGGGAATTGATTATGAAGAAACCTTTGCTCCTGTCACAAGACTCGAAGCGGTATGAATTTTTCTTGCTTATGCAGATCACAAGGATTTTGACGTTTACCAGATGGATGTAAAATGTGAATTCCTCAAAGGAGTTATTGAAGAAATTGTGTATGTCGAACAACCACCCGGTTTCGTTAACGATAAGTATCCTAATCACTGTTATATTCTCGACAAGGCAGTTTTTGGGTGAAACAAGCACCTCGTACCTGGTATGCAACTCTTACCAATTTTTTGAAAATGGCTAAATTTAAACAAGGATCTGTTGATCCTACTTTATTTTGAGAGAAAGTAGGGGATCATTTGATGCTAGTTCAAATTTATGTCGATGGCATTAATTTGGTTCAACTGATCCTTTGTTGTCGAAAGAGTTTGAGGAACTAATGAAGAGTCAATTTGAAATGAGCATGATGGATAAGATAAATCACTTTTTGGGTTTAAATATTCGTCAAAGCAAGGAAGGAATCTTTACCAGTCAAGATAACTACACTCGAAACCTACTTGAAAGTTTTGGTATGACGAATTTCTCGAAAGTCAAAGTACCTATGGTTGTTGGCATGCGCTTAAGTCCTTCATTGGATAAGCTTGTCGTCGATCTTACAACATATAGAAGCATGATAGGTTTGCTTTTGTATTTAACTACAAATCGACCTGATATTATGTTTTCTGTATGTAATTGTGCCTGGTATCAATCGAACCCAAGAGAACCCCATCTTACTGTAGTGAAGAATATCTTTCAATATCTTTAGGGTACAAAATCGTTAGGATTGTGGTATCCGGTGAAAACTAGATTCTTTATTAAAACTTTTTTTGATGCGGATCTTGAGGGTTGTCAATGGGATCGAAAGAGCACTACTTGAGGATGTCATCTAGTGGACGGGAAACTTGTGAGTTGGCAATCGAAAAAGAAGACATGTGTTTCTATTTTGACAACTGAGGCTGAATACGTTGTTGCTGATGGGTGCACATCTCAAGTGATCTGGGTATAAAGCCAATTGCATGACTATGAAATTAATATGAAGAAGATACATTTGTATTGTGATTCACAAAGTTCTATTAGCATTTGCCACAATCCAGTTCAACATTCTAAAACCAAGCATATTTCTCTTTGTTACCACTTCACAAAAGATCACGTTGAAGATAGAAATATTGAAGTTCATTTCGTCAAAACAACAGATCAACTTGGTGATATTTTCACGAAACCTTTGCATGAAAAATCATTTTTAAGGATTTTACATGTTTTGGGAATGATGGATGCATGTTTTGTTCCACATTTAACATAATTGTTCTGGATATATGTTTTACCTTACTTTCGATTGTTACATCACTTTCAATTTGTAGGTATGGGTTTTTAGTGTTATTTTAACTCTCGTTTCTTGTTTCATTCTTATTCAGAGGTTACTGTTTTTGTTAAGCGTTCGACTGCCTTCACATTCGAGTACATTCTGAATCATTCAGTATCACTTTCGAGTATGGAGGATGATTTTCGATAACTGACTTTATTTTTGGAGGATGATCACGCTTACCACATCATTATTGGAACGAACTGATCTTGGTAACATTACTATTTACTTTATTTTTGTTTTTTCTTTCTATAAATCAAAAATCCAAAAAGATTTTCTTATTTTTGTTTTTTCTTTCTATAAATCAAAAATCCAAAAAGATTTTCTGATTTTTATTTTTGCTTTCTATAAATCAAAATTCCAAAAAGATTTTCTTATTTTTGTTTTCTATAAATACAAAATCCAAAAATATTTTTGTTTTGTTTGAATTTGGGGAATCTCATTGTAACAATATGTTGTACTTTCGCATGCCACATGAGTATATTCAAATGGGAACAGGTATGATTCGAAACGATGAACTAGTTAAGTGTCCCTAGAAGCATGTTGCAACATGTTGTCCTCAAGCCTCAAAGACTCGATGTGTTCGAAGCCTTAATGAAACTATCAACACGAAAGTTTCTTCCCAATTAGGTATATTCACATTAGTCGACGAGCTACCTTTCTCTTCTCATGATGAGTAAAGAGATTTCTGCTAAGTCCATAATTTTTATAGAAGTACAATGATTCCTTCTAACCAATCTTCTTCACCCAACATTCTTTCACTTTCACACACAATTACATATACCCAAGACATCTCTAGTCAAAACCTACTAGGATATAGGTGTGACAACTCTGTGTTAATGATCCTGAATCATTTTTCCGTGATGATGGTGAAACCCAACAAACTTTAACTTCAATGAATTGACGGTGAACATTCTTGTTCAAGATTTTAACGAAACATTTGTTTCTATGTACCACTTTTTGATGTTCAAAATATCATTTCATTCGTATTGCATGATCTTAATAAAATGTACTAATCCCAAGTCATTTTTACCCAAAAGATCCAGATTTTCATTGTTTATGCAATGAGATTTCAGGTTGAATATCTTTTCTGCATTCTTCGTTACTACAAATTTGTCAAAACCTACTTGTTCTTGACTACACTGGTCATCCAAGTATTTTTACATATTGTGTCACACTTATGTTAAGTTGTGAACTTATGTGAAAACGAAACCACCTTCGAACCTAACGAAAAATAGGACCTTCAATAGTCCTCAAAGAGTTTTTCGATTGTACTTCACGGGAAACTACACAAGTAATTCACTATCTCTCTTGATGTCGAATGACGAGATATTTTCCCAGGATCACTCTGTTTTCATATCAAAGGATATTTGCTATCATGATACCCATAATTTTCTTTTTCCTTGCTATTATCTCATTCTTTGGCACACGAAAGCATTGAAATCCTTGAGGTTTTGGGTATTACCAACTCGAAACCTAGATTTCGCAAATACTGGCAAATGGTTCTACTTATCCTTCCCATAAGTGAATGAGCCTAGCCTCCATGTCGAAGGATGTTTCTCTATTGGTCACGAAACTTGTATGATCTCCCTTGGTATCGAAACTTATGATGGTTCTTATTTGATTGGGGGAAGCGAACGATCTGGGTGAAGTGACAGCTCAAGATATGCACGGGAATTTAGGAAAACAGTAATCATCACTTTTCCACCTGAAAATTTTTCCATTGGGCAATGGTTTGAATTCAAAATTCACGCCAGTTACATAAGGAAAATTGGTCTTCCGATTTTCAGTTTATGCTCTCTGCATGTTTACAAGAACCCTAATTGTTCATTGACGATTTTCATTCCAAAATTCTCTCAAATGGCTGCTACTCAATCTAATGTAGATCCAGTTACAACCAATGAAGATGAAATTTCCCAACCGATGATGAAGATTTCGCACACCAATCTTCGACTTATTCCATCTCTAGATGTGTATCCGAGTGAATTCCATCTGATTGTTCAGATTTTGAATAATTTTGTTCTTTCATTTGCTCTATCTGGAAAATTTTCTATTCTAATGGAATGGTTATCTCTTCCTATTTTTATGACTGTTTTCAAGAAGACAACCAAAGTTCTCACTTTCCAGATATCCTCTTCAAAGACGAAGAAGTTTACTTGGAAGCAGTTTGCATAAATATTGAAGTTACCAACTTCAGGTTACTTTTATGAACTCTATAGTAATCAGGTTATTCACATGTTCAATGAGATGGGACATCAACCCTCTCTAGTGAATATTAGTTCATTTAAGAAGTCGAGCCTTCCCAGTATTGGGAGTTTTCTGTTTGGGATTATCTTAAGTTGCTTGACAGGGAGGAGTTATGGGTTAGATAAAGCTAAACTAGAAGTTTATTCAGTGATGGCGGGTCTGTATTATGGTATGAATGTAGACTATGCTTCACTATCGTGGGAAGAATTTGGGACCTCAATTTTTCATTGCAAACTAGCAACTGGAGTGGCGAGTGCTAACTTTTGGGGGTTAATTTTGAAGGAAATTTACAGCCAGGAAAATATTCTTATTCCATCAGGGGTTGATATAGATGAATTTCCCACAATGACAGTTCTGAAGGTGATTGTGGATGATGCTACTATTTTTTCTGTTGTTGCTCGAATCCCTGATTCAATGCTCAATCTGGTGGACCTTAAGAATCAATTGTTGGTGGAGTATTTGGCTTCCATTGATTCGACTCAAACTGGTGTTCTTTTACCAAAGGTTTCTCAAAAAGGGTTCGAAGGTTTGTCAAAAGGGTCTAAGGTTACAAAGATGAAGAAACAAACACCAAAGCTAAAAGATGTAGTGGAGGAGTTGGTTAAAGAGACTATACCCACAAAGACTGGGAAATGGGTACTCAAGCGAACAAAGAAAAATTCTGATCTAGTAACAACGAAACCTGTTCAAGAACCAATTGTTGAGACTGTTGACCCAAAGGTTGTTGAAACTTCTGCTCCAATTCCTGATAAAGCAAAACTTACACAGGAAAGTGAACCAGTTGTGATTAAACATGGTTCGAAGAAAGTTAAGAAACTACAATTCACAAGAAATGGAGCAATTTTTTGTGAGGTTTCGAGTCCTGGATCACCTGCATCGAAGAAGCGCCAAGCTTTAGATGTTGTGAAGAAGTTGAAGAAAAGGAAGCATGATGATCAACCTACAGTTCAATTTGATAAGGTCACTGTCGAGACTGATAATGATAGTGATGGGTCTGACACTCGACTAGAGGATTCTTTTCATGTTTCACCACGAAAGGATACCCATGTGAAGTCGAATTTCTAGAAGACATGAATTTCTGATGTCACTGTAAACGTATCTTATACGGGTACAAACATCGATTCGGGTAACCAACAACAAACCGACATCCCTGAGAAGGCTTTAGTCAAACCATTTGGGGTCTCAAATACCGAGTCCGTTAGGGAGGAAGTCGAAAGTCCATACATCACTGTGAACTTATCTAATAAGGACACAAATGTCAACATGAGTGGAGGGATGATCAATGTCGAATTTATTGCCACAACTTCCATTGCAACTTCAACAATTTTACCACCACCAACCTCAACCATTCCCACTTTCATTTCTATTTCTACTGTCTCACTAACATTTTTTGGTGTTATGCAAGAACCCATCACAACTATTTTTTCCGCACAATCAACTGAGCAGTCACTTCAAGGAGACGACGCTAATGATGAAAATGGCATGGTTTCGTTTGTAGAGCTTCAATTCAATATAGAAGAAGAAGATATTCCCTATGAACTAATCATGTTAGGTAAGCAATTCAAGATACTAAATTCAAAGATCAATTCTCTTCTTCAAATTACAGCTGATACTGGAGGGAAGAATTATGTGACTGGTTTTGAGATGGATTATTTTTTGAAAGCTCAAGAATCACGATTGCGGAATTTGATTGAGGTTGTTGAGAAGAAACAAGAAGATTGATTGGCTACCCATTCAAAGAGTTTTGTATCACAACTGGCATTTCTACCAGGAAATTATGTGATCATGTAAACGTCAACTATGATAATACTTGTAACATTAACTTGATGTCATACACTATGTTCATTCTATGACCACAAACTTAATCAGGATTCACAAGTGAAGTTCAAAACTCTACACAAAGTATCTAAATAGTCAATTGGGGAGTTGAAAACCCTAGAGACCCTGGTTCAAGTTCATTATGGAATAGGATTTCCTTATTGGGCCTAATGGGCCAATAAGCATTCAATTCAACTACATTGGGCTTGGAAACCCTATTTGGATTCTAAATGGACCCAATTCATAAATCTATAACATTTAGGACCATTTGGGCCTAGAATGATTCATTCTAACCCTAATGGGCCTTATTGGGCCATAAATGAATTAATTTTCCCTAATGGGCCATAAACTCCCTTTCTTCTTTCAAATGGGTCGTGGACCATCTAATGAGCCCAATGGGTCGAAAAGTAATTATTGGGCCTCATAATTTTGAACCAAGGCTAGAAATGGTCCAAGCTAATCCACCTCCTTTCTCTTTAGCCCATTCTCGGCCCAATGAGTAAAAGAACATAAAAAAAACAAATAAAAGGAAATTAGAGGATAATTGAGAGTTAGCCACCTCACAATTACATGGTGGTTCTCCATGCTAATTACCCATTAAGCAAATACAAGGCTCATACTCCTAAGCATCCATCACATCTTCTCTCCCCTCTCTTCTTATCCTCTCGACCGAGAGCTAACACACACATACACACACACTTTCAGATCCTCTCCAAACACTCTCAAGATCATCCTCCTTCCTCCAAGGATCTCGAAATATTGCTTGTGATTCAAGGATCTTCATCAAGTATTTTCTATCTTCGGTAAGTTATTATTAAACACAAACATCTCCTTTCATTTTAACATTAAGAACTCTTTCTTACATAGCTTTACTCCATGATCACACTCTTAGAAACTCCTTAAGCTCGAAATCTACTCAAGAAGACTTGCTAGGGCCGAAAACACACTCATTTCTTCTTCAAATCGAGATCAAACAAGAAAGGTGAGTTCATACCCCCTTGTTTTCTGTTTTCACTTGTTTTTGGAGGAGAATATAAGTATTTATGTGTAGATCTATGTGTTTATGCATGTTATGTGTGATTTTCTTGGCTTTTGTTTGTGTTTGGGTGAAAAACTCGATGGATCTATAAAACTATAAAAAAAAATAAGTGTGAATCACAAACAAAAACACTCTAGACACTATACTATAAAGTTAAAAGGGTTAGAAAATGCCCTAGTTGTGAAAAACCAAACAAAATCTTGTGAAGGGATCATTTTTGGCAAATAAACAAAAGTTTGGGGTAAAGAGTGACACCTACGGTTTCATAGGGACTAAAAGGGTATTATTAGCTTAAAAATGAGTTTTTATAACAACCATATTTTTCTAAGGGTCCAAAGTGTAAAATTTAGCAAATTGGGCCTTAATGTGGGCCTCACGGCCTATTGGGCCCAAATTGCGAAAAACATCAATCTTTGGGGATTAAAATGTTATTTAATCAAAACTTGAGCCAAATATGAGAATAAACGAGATTAGGGGCTGAAAATGACACTATCTCAAGATTTGGACCAAAAATGTTAATTTTATAAAAATTGGGCCGAAAATGTTATTTTATGCAAATAAGGGATGAAATTGTAATTTTCTGCAAAAATGGACTGAAAGTGTCATTATATGCATTTTTGGGCCAAACCCGTCAATCACTAAACATTTGGGGCGAAAATATAGATTTTTATAAATTTACGAACTAAAATGTTATTTTTAATTTAAAATAGACCAAAATGACATTTTATGTAAAATAAGACCTTAAATGTTCAAATTAGTTCTCAAATGACCTAAAGTGTAATTTTTAATAAATATGGGTCCAAATTATAGAATTTTGATATATCGAACTAAAAATATCATTATAACAAAACATTAGACTTTTTATAACGTTACAGAAAAATAATTCAATTAAACGAAATACAACAATGGTGCAATTATTGAGCCTAGTATTTGCTGTACGTGTTTATTGGGCCTTCGTGATCCAATTACATGTTTATTGGGCCCAATGTTTTCATCACATGTCTGTTGGGCCTCAGTGACCCAATTACATGCTAAATGGGCCTAATTTAGCCTTTACATGTTATTGGGCCTTAGTGGCCAATTTACATGCTAATTTAGCCTGGAAATAACTTACACGTCTAATGGGCCATAGTTGCCTTTTCTTCATGTTTGTTGGGCCTTATCTTGTCATTTCATACATTATCTAGTGTTCGAACTTCTAAATACATATAACATTATACTAATTCATGTGGAGACAAATGGGATCTAGTGAGACGTGTCGGTTGACACCACTGAGTGTATGGCCGTAGCTTGTAGTTATAATCAGAGTCTCCTGGAGGGAGAGCGAGAGTTTGTGTATACATCTATACTGGGGTGACTCCCCCACACCCGAGCTATTCGCTACAGTTAGACTAGGCCAGTCTAGGGTGACAAAACCTTGAACGAAAATCCGACATTTGGAAAAACGTCAAGACAGGCAAATCAGTAACTTTCATGTATGGTTATAACGACTCATATAGAGATCCATTCCCATTAAGGCATTACGGAAAAATTAAAAACTCGTAAGTCATAATGATACAAAACATTTCTACAGTGCAAGGACCGTGACATTTTTATAAATCAGAAAATATCGGATTTTCTGGGGAAATACTATTATTCAAATACTACTTACATACAACAGAAAGAATACAATGAAATTTCAACTGCATTTCTATATGTTACTATTATATGAAATATACACATGCATTTATACTCGATTTTCACATCATTTTTCAGACGTTTTACATAAAATATCGGATTTTCTGGTTTACAAAAGATACAAAGACTTTTATTCAAACATGCTTATGAACTCACCAACATTATATATGTTGACCGTTTTCAAAATAACTTGTATTCTCAGGTAATCGTTAAGCAAAGAGGATTTTCAAGTGTGTATGGATTTATTTTGTGTAACGTCACTCATCGTACTATTAATACTTTGGATTTATGTAACCTGTGACAATGTACTTGATGTGAACAATACCAGATGTAATATGTAATGTTTGGTGATGAATGTGTTATGTTTCATATATATTCATTGTGATGATATTTC